GTGTAATAGGTAGCCGAGTGGTAGGCGCGGTGAAATCAACAATAATTACTTTTATTCTACTTTCAGGTACACACCTGAGATATAATCGTTCGTGAAAGAAGAAGCGGCAAAATAACTGACTTTCTCTCCGGTGCTCACCTGGAGGTTGAATCCTTATTCTTCGAGTTAGCTTTCATTGCTATCCAATCTAATCTAATCTTCTCTTCATCAAAACAGAAATGCGCAGCCGCTTTTATGCAGCAGACGACGTACGCTTACATACGGAGATACACTAAATATACATCAGGCAAAGCTCCGTATTAGTTCCGTACTGCTTCCGTATTGGTCGGGCAGGGATACTACACCCTCCCTTCCTACAGATAATCACGCCCTCGTGATTTTCCAAAAAATTAGTGAAGAGTTACGAACACAGCGTCAACCGGAAGATGGCAAATTATATCGGAAATGATAACGTTTAGAGTAGACAGAAGAAATGAACTGATAACAAATCATAAAGTAGAAGCACACCAGGTTCACACGACCTCACGGGGTCAAAAGGGGAAAGAACTGTCCTCCAAATAGGACCTGAAACCACAGCACTCTTGCTGCACTACGCTGGCACAAACCGCCAGGAACATCGCAGTTCAAAAACCGAACTGAATACACTATAACTATAAGGGGCGTTGTCACACACATTGTCCCACGTTAGCTGGGTAAACCGTGGCTCACCATGATCAGACGCCTACCAAACTAAACTGGATTCACACACTCGCATAAAGGAAGACTGAAAAGAACAGGGAGACTGAAGGAAGAGAGGAAAGAAAATGCCATACCTGGAATCAGCGTTAGTAACCACCGCGGCCGCTGGAGCTACGGCGGGGGTCAAGCCAGGTTTTATCTTCATCTCGGTTGAGCCGGTCACTCAGAGCGGCTAGCTCGGCGTCAGACAAATGACCTCCCTCCTAGTCTTGAATCGTGGTCTTCACATTGGCGATAGCATCGCTTTGCGCGACGTAAAGAGTGATGGTCTAGCCAGGAAGAGTGTTGACGAAAATCTGCATCCCACCACGGAGACGAAGTACCAAGTGAAGAGTGGGCTCCTGCTTCCGACTGCGTGCCGGCGAAAATCAAACGCTGCTGGTCTTGGGGAATACCCTCCTTGTCTTGGGCAGCAGCCTGCCTGTTGTCGTCCTCATCAGCTTCGCCATCACCACCGGTAGTATACACGTACGTAGCGGGTCGCTTGGAATCGCCATCGGAGTCTCCAGTGAGTGCCATGCGGAGGGAAGGATGATCCACGCTAGCACCCTGACTGTGCTGCAAGCTAATAAGCAGGGCCAGGCCCAGGAAGGCAAGAAACATGATTCTCATCTTGATTCGTCGCACGAAGCTGCGGGTTGAGCCATGGGGGTCTGGGGTCGAATCACGTTGTTTTATTTTACAAAAACACACCGCTGCCACCAATGTAATGGGTAGCCGAGTGGTAGGCGCGGTGAAATCAACAATAATTACTTTTATTCTACTTTCAGGTACACACCTGAGATATAATCGTTCGTGAAAGAAGAAGCGGCAAAATAACTGACTTTCTCTCCGGTGCTCACCTGGAGGTTGAATCCTTATTCTTCGAGTTAGCTTTCATTGCTATCCAATCTAATCTAATCTTCTCTTCATCAAAACAGAAATGCGCAGCCGCTTTTATGCAGCAGACGACGTACGCTTACATACGGAGATACACTAAATATACATCAGGCAAAGCTCCGTATTAGTTCCGTACTGCTTCCGTATTGGTCGGGCAGGGATACTACACTAGTAGTTCGGGCCTGGTTTAAATCCGGCTTTGGAAAGTACTTTTTGAAGTATATTTTTCATTGCTATCAGGTTCGGCCTCATCTTCTCTGTGCTGCGCTGATGTGTCCACAAAGGACGAAACAGTTCTGCCCTCAGATGGAACAGATTGCCAGGAGACGTCCACTCCATAACAATGCTGGGGGACCTTCAAATCGCCAACGGTACCTTACACATAATGCAGTGCAGGTATTGAGCAAAGGAATACACCAGGCACAGTCAGTGACCGATTGTGTAAGGTACCCTTGCCGATTTGAAGGTCCCCAGCGTTGTGCTGGCGTTGTGATCGTACATCATGCAGTCCCGACATTTGAAAGAACATACTGGCATGTGCTTCTTTCACTTTGCAAAAGTCTTCGACAGCGTTTGGCATAGAAGCCTGATTACCAAGTTGGCTGCCTACGGCATTGGCTGCCTATGGCGACCAAAGCGATGTTCTTTTGTAGCGGGGCTAGTGATCAGCTCTGTGATGACTGTGTTTTTATCAGGTCCTGGCAGCTCATCTACCATAGAAATTGTCCACGAACATAAGCACATTGGTACAATTATGGACGACTGTTTTTTTATTTTATTTTATTTTATACGAAAATGTTGAGTCACCTCCACCATTAAACTGCGCTCTTTAGCCGACAAGACCCTCCTGCACACAACCAGCACCATCTGAAGAGCGCAGTTTAATGGTGGAAGTGACTCAACATTTTCTTCAATGGCCGAAAGCTCTGTCGCACCCTGTAATAATATTTATACGAAAGTCCACTATATTCCCGATATGGGCGAGAAGTGATGGCGGGGCCAGGCTGCTCTGCCGACCTCAAAGGTCTCGGCGTCTACGCAGACAAAGCGCGCCATAATGCAGTAAAACCATGAGGAGGGGAGGAGGGGAAATGAATAATAGTGAGGAACGAGGACAATCAGGGTAGATCATGGTCGTGATAGAAGCAGAGTGAAAGATAACGTCACATTGTGGTAGGGGGAGGGGAGGGAGGGAGGATGCTAGTGATGCGCTGGTCTAAACCGTTTCATAGGGCGTCGGTGGCTGCTTGCTGTCTAGCATGGACTCCCTATGTTGACTATACTTGCACGACAACTAGTAGTGTTCTCGGCATACTATATCCCCATCGTTCTCATCTGCCAAATACATGTCGTTCTATGTTTTATTGCTCGTATCCATTACCTATTTTCCAGTATGCATGTCAGTCTTGGTGTAGTCTAAATCAGCATCTTGTGAACAAACTTGAGATCCAACACAAATCTCTTCTTTAAAAATATTGTTTCACAAGCAGCATTTCCTAGTCTTGACCTCTATTGTATCAGCAATACTCAGCCACTGCAAGATAATCGCAAACAGCAGCCTTGCATTTTGATCCACAGAATTAGCCTAGGTAAAAGTCCCATTCACCTCTCCATAATCGATTGGTTTCTCTGCCCCCGGTCCACTCGAAATAGAGTCTCACTTCCTCGTGTTAATTCCGTCGAATTTACCAATTCTCCTCTTTTTGTTTGTCCTACACCTTTTGGGTGCGACTTCCTCAGTGGGTTAAGATATTAAAATGCCATTCCAGCTTTAAGAATGCTCTCCGATCGCATAATGTAGTACAATAGGATCTTCATACAAAAGAGAAAGACCAAGGAACTACAAGTCACGCTATGCTGTCCACTAACACCACCAGTTCCTAGTTCCTGGGTCTTTCTCTTTTGTATAAATTAAATAAGATCTTTCCTTGCTTGCTGCTTGTCTATCCTTCTTTCTTCTCCTTTCTGTATTCCTTTCATTTCTTGCCGTGGTTGGCTATCACCTCTCTCTTGCAATTTGCGTGTCAACTGGTCATGGACCATGCGTTGAGTGCAAGAAGTAAATAGATACTAGTAAGTAAAATAATTTATTGTTGTTATTTTTTAAATTTTACTTTTATTCTTTTTTTCGGCAATGCAGATGATGATGATGGTGATGAAGTAAAATAAGTCTGGTAGCGTCAGAGAATGTCAGAGAAAGAAAGCTTGCCCCAGCCAAGGCGCAAGGAGAAATAACAGGCTGGTGGAAGTATTAGGAGGATTGTGGGCAACAGGCTGGCAGAGGCGCTGGGGAGGCAGTGTGCAGCAGATTGGAGTGTTCTCGGCATACTATATCCCCATCGTTCTCATCTGCCAAATACATGTCGTTCTATGTTTTATTGCTCGTATCCATTACCTATTTTCCAGTATGCATGTCAGTCTTGGTGTAGTCTAAATCAGCTGAAAAGTAAACATGTCGAGTGCAGTTAAGAGTTTTCTGAAGCGAGTAACCTCACCACCCCATGCTGGTCGTGGGAGGGTAGGATCTCCTAAAAGTCCGTGTAGTCCAGACGTCATACCAGGAACACCCATGCAGGACATGGGACGAGCAGCTGGTCGTAAAGCCAAAGCAGCGAGCCCGACCGAAAGTTTATTAATGGAGGACCAGCTTTCGAGCGACACGGTCACAGTACGGCCAATTGCCGTGACGAAAACTGCTCGCCTGCCGGACAAATCTGCCATACCTACACCTTCAGCCGGCACAGTCCCTTTGGACAAAGTGATGCATTTTCTCACAACGTTTGCCAAGGAGTTTCGGGAGGACATGGCGACCACCACGAAGCAACTACTGACAGCGTTTGACAAGCGCCTGTCCAGTGTCGAGGATCGTCTTGCCAATGCTGAGCGAGAATTAAAAGAGCTCCGCACCTCAAACAAGAAACTGGCAAGTGAAGTTTCCCGGTGTGTTTCAGGGACCTCATTGACTGGTGGAATATCGTCTGGCGGGGAATCCGCCATTTCCGGCATCAAGAAGGATGTTGCCAAGCTGTCTGCTAGACTTGGGGACGTCATTGCACAGTCGACACCAAATTTGGCACATTCTTGCATTCAGGAGCAGGCTGAGCGTGTGGCTCGCGCGGATAACGTCATTC